TATATATAAAATATATGTAACTTTCTTTAGTTTAGAAGTTTCCAATTTTCCAAAAACAAGCACTTTTTTTTTACATTTATAATGAGTTCTCTAGAATTATTATAATTAACTCTGTAGCGATCAATTTCAAAAGAAATGATATAGAAATATTACTATTATCGAAATTATATATTTTATTCCGTTATACTAGCAATAATTATATAATGGCGCGTTAACAAGATGCGAGGATAGAGAAGGAACAAGCCGGGTCGCGATTTACATCGTATAAGGTATATTATTTATTATATCTTATGTACATTCAACATCGTCTTGACAACACCATAGGAAAAATTGTTTTTAGACACGTTCCAAAATTTGTCGACAGTAACTCCTTGCTCGCGCTTCTTTTTCCCCCCTTTGCATTTTTCTTTATACAATGAATCGAAGACACACGGAGGTGATTCGCTTAACCAATTTTTTTTTTATGAAAACTCAGCTCGGCGAGTATATAAATTATCGTACGTATGTGTGTGTGTGTGATGATTACGCGATGCGTGTGTGTCTGTCTTTCTTTCTGTGAATTATGTATAATATATGGGACGGTACCTGTGTGTAATGCTTTACTTTTCCTCGTAGATTTTCGTTTTTCGAAGCAGGTACTTTGACAGAGTTCGCTGTAAAGAGAGTCGTGGAAAGTAAAAATAAAAAAAAAAGAAAAAGAAAACAACGCGCTCGGTAAGTCATTTAATTAACGCTTAACTAAACATAATATAATATAATTAGTTGCGTACAGATTCGATACAACGTTCATATTTATCACTGTAACTGTAGCTTCGTTTCACCTTCTTTTTACAAGACAGAGTTCACTCGGAAACTCTAGAAATAGGGGAAGAATATGTCGCTCTGCCCTATAATAATAATAGATAACTTATGATAATTAGAACATTTTGCAATTTAGTCAGATCTCTAAGAAATAAATAAGGTATTCTTTTTTTAATAAATAATAGTAGAGTTATAAAATCGATTACACAGGATTAAGCGAGAGGCAATTTTCTTTCCTCGCCGCTTGCCGTTCTCGCTTTCTTTCTTTGCCGGCAAATTGAAAAAAAGAAGCGCTAAAGAGAAAAACAAAAATTCACCGCAACGGAGACACTCGAGCGAATTGAAGTAATTTTGATTTTTCAGGTTTTTTCCTGATGCTCTTTTCTCTCCGATCTCGTTTCTCTGAATAAAGTTTTATATGTATATGATTCCTGATAAAAAGTCCATATTTAATTAAATATAAATATTAAATACATATATATGTAATTATATATAAAAAATATGTTTTCTTTCTTTTCTCTCTATAATCTCTGGTCATACATAGAAAAAATAATAAAAATTGAAAAATTATTAGGATAACTTTTGCATTGTGTTTTTTCACAAAAAGTGAAGTTTGCGAAAATAAAAAATTATCCATATAAAATCATATATGATATAAAATTGTATACAAAATTACATATAAAATATTATATAATGTAATTGCAATTTTACTTTTTGAAAAAAAACAAATACAAAACAATACAAAAGTTATTTTTTAAATTATTTTTTCTATACATAGACAGAAATTATACAAACAAAATTATACAAAAGAAAACATATAGACATATCTTATGTACATGTATCTACTTATATTTAATGATATGAACTTTTTGAAGAAAAACTAAAACGTGTAACATGAAGTATGATTGAAAACTTTGAGAGCGAATAGAATAAAATTTCGTTCCTTTCTAAGGAAAGAAAAAAAAAAGTAGATTGGGAACGATCCTAAGATTTCTACAGAGAAATCGAGGAAAACAAAAGAAAAATCGGAGAAGTCCTACGCGACGTACCTCGCTCTCACCTAATATATTTTCGATTTCGTATATTTTCTCTCCCCCTGTGCCTAACAGTAGCCATGTGTGTGTTTCTGTGTGATATTGATAGAGCTCTATGAAATCTAAATATCGAAATTAACGGCATTCGTAAAACTTCAGGTCGCACTCGCAGACTCATCGCTAAAACACAGACAATTACAGCTTGAGAAAGTTCTTAAGACCTTTTTCTCCCGTCCGCGGGATCCCGGCCGAATTATTACCGAAGTTATTACAAACGAGATTATGGCGCAAATTCGCCTAATGCGCACGACTCTCCTTTCTTCCGTTTCCCTTTCGGCCGGGATCCCGTATAATCTCGCCTTTTACGTTTTATCATACCTTTTTTCTCGTTTAATCTTTAATACGAACATTTAGGAAGATAGCGCTATCGATAATTAATATTTTCTGAAATTTGTTAACATTCTCTATATAAAAATCTGCATTTGGGTATTCACTTATTGCTTCATAATCGTCGCCGTTCTTCGGTAGCCTTCTCTCTCTTTTTTTTTTCTTTTTGTTTTTCCTAAGGGAGATTTTTACCTCGCCGCGCGGCCTTCCGCGATGCTTTTCGCTCTTCCCTTCCGTTTCTTCGCTGATACGTGCGCGGAAGGAGGTACGGCGAGTCGAAAGACACCAGAGCGTATTTCGACATTCCTCGCTCGCGGTATGACTTCGAGCAACATTTCGTTTACGAGGGAAGCATCGTTGGATCGCGCTACGAGATAGAAGCGATCGATTTTAATTACCGGTCTAGCGCTTCGCTGGGGCGAGACTTTCGCCTCTTCTTTGATTAAAGGGAGGAGAATTGGTTGGGACTGTGCGAAAGATGTTCGCTTTGTCGTTGTCTTGTATCTTGTCGAACGCGAGAAATCTCGCCTCCCAAAACACGCCTTCCGCTTCTGTCGCGATCCAACGTCGCCTCGATATACATCGTAGACTATATTACTAACGTTAAACCGTTAAATTAGAAAATAAAAGAATTTCTCCGTGGCTCGCCGGACTCACTTGGAAGCTGTTTAATTAATCTCACGCGCAATATTTTCGTACGCATATGTCTGCCGCTCCGTTGGTCTCTTTTTAAGATAAGTCGCCGGTAACGTGTGTGTATCCCGGGTATAATGTATCGCGACCCAGGATGCAGTCTTTACGATTACGGATGTAACGAGATACAAAGCAAGCCTCTCGTCCCCTCTATCTTTCTGTCTGTCGTCCTCTAAGGAAAGGAAACGGTATTCCCTATTATGGATTACATGTATATTGGAATGGACGTTGCTTCGCGAGGAAACTCCTCGGTCGGACTGTAAAAATCAAAATAGTGTTACCTCGTGAACGCGCGTGCCTCGTATCAGTCGCACGCGTCGTCGCTCGCGTATACGTGAGTATTTTGTCCGCATATCTTACACCATCCGACTTTACATTTCATTTTCTCTTTACGTTATTCTCTTTTTCCGGCTGACTTTTCTCTTTTGTCGTACGCTACAATCCGAGGACAGAATCGAAGATCAATCAGAGTAATTTCAACTTGATCTCGAGTAACGACGCACGCGAGGATGTCCCTTCTTGCGCTTGCATTGCATTCTGCGATAATGTTGATATGTTAACGCATTGCTCGCTAATAAGGGACGCGTTTGAAATCGTTTTTTCTCACGCCATGTCCTCCTTTGCTTTCCGACGCGAACGGATGTCTCTTATGCTTTTTCCTACATAGAGAGTTTTACTCCCGTTCGTCCCTTTTCACAGTGTAGTATTTATAACACAATATCTATTTATATGTATATGTATATATAGAATGATTCGTGATCGCACGCTCGTGTACATATAAATATAGCGCGAAAAATGGATCGCGGCAGATTCTCGTCACCGATGCAATTTCATTCAAACTCACATTCACGCGTCCGCTCATTTTCCATTCGTTTATCCCGTGTCACGCAGTCTCGCGCTAAAATAACTCTTGCACACTCGCGTTGGCACATATTCGCTTCGTTCGTTTCGCCGTTTGTCATTATAATCGAAAGGTATACCTATATATAGGCCGCGCGTGTACGACGTTTCCATATAGGTAATGCAAAGGCATAAAGTTGTAATTTAGCGTAAAGAGTAAACATTCGCCCTTGTTCTCGATCGTGTACATTACCGAGACGACATACGCAATAGTGTAATGCACTCGCTACATTCACTACACGAAATAATGAACCTACTAGCTGTTGTCACGCTACCGATTTCGGAAACTATTACGATCCAATTTTTGGTACAGTTCCCTCGTGATACGGTCAGTTTTCCTTGTCAGATGCGTATTGCTATGTCGATTGTTATAGACAAACACGTAACTTTAATATACTTAAGAAAAGAGGCCAGGAACAGACATATTCGAACGACATTTAGGTCGATATGTTCGCCGTTCAATGTTCTATATATCGCAGATGCATACCTACTAAAATGAGCTGCCATTCAGTACAAAATGTTACAAAACCTAACAAGCGCGATAATAGAATAGTAAAAAAAAAAAACGAATTCGGCTGTAAATCTCAAATGAAAGTCTCCGAAAAAAAATATATAGTGTATACAAATCAACAGTTGTTATACAAATACTTTAAACTAAAAGGAGAACATTCATAAGTAATGAAAGATTTCGCGGCAGTGATTACAGGGCTCGTTTATTTCCGTCAGTCTGATCTTTAGATAGATCGATCACCGAAACGGCCTAGGAAATGAAAGAGTATTGGCGCTCGTTGTTCGTGTGGGAGAGTATGTTTACATTGATCCCATTAAGACTCTTTCACGGTGATTTTTTAAGAATCACATTCTGAAACGAGCTTCGTGAATGATCCGTTCCCGTAAGGCGTTAGATTTCTTTGACACTTACAAGTCGCGAAAGTTTCGCAATAGGTGTATCGTTCTACATGTTGAGTAAAAGTCGTTGCACTTTATATGCGAGATGGCGAATGCGTGGTCCTTGTAATCCCTCTCTTTGAGAGGAGTCGTAAATGCGAAGAATGGATTTCCTTTCGACTCTCGCTAACATGGAATGTCTGCAGCACGAATGCTTTGAATCTCTCGATTAAAGTGAGACGATGTTCGCGTATCGTTTCGGAGGTATCATGAAAGCTTTGCCTCGAATCAACCCTCAATTAGTTCAACGGATCTATTTGCGCGCGAAGAAATATTCTCTCGAGGACATCGTCGCTCTGACTAGGTAATCACGAGTCCTAGATGGAAGGGTTGTCGTCTCGCTTCTCGCGGAGGCGATGCGTCGGGGCGCCTCGAGTTTGTGAGATCCATAGGGATAGCGATGTTCCGTGCCGATCAGCCGATTTCTACATACGATCCGTTCGCGGGATTTGAGGTCGCGGTCATGGTTACACGAGGAAACCCTGCGAAGTAGCAGACATTTGCGCCCGCAATGCCGTCACGCTGTTCATGATCTTCTTCTGATGTCCTACGAGCGTTATGCCGAGGGCCGTGAGCTCCTGGACGGTGACGCGCGCTGCTGCCTCCAACGTCGTCACGCCCGCCCGCTCAAAGCTCTCTGCGTATCGTGACATCTTGATGGAAGCTAGCCACTCGCTGACGGAATTCAATTGCGTTAGATCCACCGCATCTGGCGCCAGTGGATTTGTGCCCCTGTTAAAAACAACAAAGTAAGAAATATCTCTTTGTGCGCGAATGAATAACGTTCACAGTGGGGAGGAGTACGAAGAAATTAAGGTAGGTACATGAGATTTCAGAATTTTTTAAAATTCTTTCGCTATCCAAATACATTCACATTCGCATAATTCAAATGTATGTTTTGGATTTGCTCACTTGCTATCGACTACGCCACAAGTTAATGACAAAGAAGCTAAAAATGAAATAAAGAAGATGATAGTTCGGCTGCAGATCACTCAACGTTTCATCGATGTTGAAGTTACTAATGTCTTCGTTATTTCATAGGATATCGGGTTACAAAATACTATGTGTGGAATATCATTTCATTAATGATATATTCTTAAATTGATCGAAATTATATTTTACTTCTATATAGATTATACTATCAGTATGTATTATTGGCTGTAAAACGTAATTGTATCTTGACTTTACGTATATGAAGAAGAGAGACATATACAAATGTTTGATGATATACATACAAATGTTTAGATATTACATATGTATAAATTATAAAAGGCATCTTAAACATGTAAAATTATTGTCACGTCGATTATTGGGATAGAAAGAATAAATCAATAAAAGTTCATAAATTTAAATTCTAGAATATCTGTGAAAAAATCTAAAATGATAATTCAATTGATATATATATTTATTTAATAAATTTTTAAGGATAGATGTATAAAACGGGACTTAACTAATATGTATAAATTGGTTATTTAAATATATACAGTATACTCCTAAATAGATTTTTTATGAATATACATATATGTGTAATATTTGATCGGCTATAAATTATAAATTACGAATTATACATTTTGAAAAATAAACATAATTGATGTATATATACGATTAATTTGTAAGTTTGGTTCACTTTTTTTGTACAATGTTATGTACAGGCGTTACAAAACTTAAATACCGATACATACATCCAATCTTTCTTCGGCTCAATAATAATTATATATAATATAAAAATAAAAATTAAAAAAAATAACTATCATAATAAACATAATATTACTGACATTAAAAATATCAAAATAATAATATTAATGTGTTAATATATTATTATTAAAAATATGAGAATATTATACTAATATAATATTAGTAATACTAATATGTCAATAATAATAATAAAACACAAATACCGCAAAAAAAGTAATACAAGTACTATGACGACACAATGGCGATGTAATGACAATAATGAGGATAATAATAACGCAACTGTTAACAATAGTATTGTTGACGAGATGTATCATATGTAATGTGTTAATGATACATAATTTACAGTTTAGGTACATGTACACGTGAACGGATTACGGTGCATATGAAGGCAAGCAGTGCAACACAAACTAAGAGGTTTACCAAGCATGGAGACGGCTGTCTACATGACGGCGATATTTCATTACTGTGTCAAAGAAGCAGAGAGAACGTGAAAGCACAGTCAGCATAATCAAATCATTGAAATGTTAAAGGGCGAATTCTGTGTTATCTAGGGCGAAACAGAAACGATTGAGCTTCGTTCTTCTGCGCTTCTTTTTTTCTTTTTTTTTTCTCTCATCCACAAATAGGATTCAGTGTGTGGGAATGCCGCTTTTAATTCTCTTTTCTTTTTTTCTTTACCTGTTTCTCAAATGCACGTTGGAAGATTCCGATGAGGCGGGTGAGGGTGAGGGTGGACCACCCCTTTCTCTGATTCTGACAATTGTTAGCATTTGTTAGTGCGATGAAGGTCATACTAGGTGTGTGTTTCTATCTGCAGGCTAGTTTCAATCTATTTGGCTTTGAATTTTATCTCTTTTTTTATCGTTCGCCGATACGAATACCTTCACGTTTATCTTTTACAAACAGCTTGGAATAATTTTAAGCTTTTTACAAATGCATTTTATGTTGAATCTCAAAAATACAAAAAAAAAAGACAAATTTAGCGTGATTGATATTTCAACATGATTATGAAAAAATTTCAGCAAATCGCTTTTATTCCTATTTATTCCTATCATTGGATAAATGCCTCACCTCCGGCCTATAAATGTTGCGACAAGTTTTTAATGTAATATTTTCAGAGGACGTAAAGAGAAATAGCCTAATAGCAAATTTTGTAATCAATGAATTACGTAAATTAATCATTTCTGTTACAATGGCGTTGTTTCATCATACTCTGTAGAAATAGTTTAGAAATTAATGTTATGATTACAATATTTCTTGATGATTCATGGATGCAGAAATATGACCTAATACCGTTAATTGTTAATTATATTGTTTTTCATTTAATATATTACGTATAAAAATACTATTCTAAAATGGTCAACCGGTTGCACGCGTGCTGTACATATATATGTTAATAAATCTTTCGCTAAGATAAAATCGAGTTTTAATAAATTACACGATAAGTACTTATATCGATTTAATGTATGATATATGGGGTGTCATAAGACTATGGCTGTTCTTTTGAGCAATTTGTTATATATAGGCGAATTTTTTCCCATCGAAAACTTTATCTTATCGAGTCCAATTAAAGAATTCGCAGTCGAAAGAAATGGCATTAGTTTTGGGACACCCTTAGTAAATGTATGCGTGTGATTTTGTGTTTTTTTCTTTCTTTCTTTTTCTTTATGCGTATATCAATAGCAATGATAATGAAAGCTATGATGATTAATATAGAATAATGAGAACACTTTAAAGATTCTAGTTGCTTTTACGCACACCACGTTTATTTGCCTTTTATTCTCTAAGCTCGCGTTTAAATCTATATTGCTATTCGATGATTGAATTTATCCTTCATAAAATTTGGAAACACTCTTAAACTTTCAATTTATATCTCGGTACAATTTTAATTGATAATATATGCTCTAACTCTGTATGGTAAAGTTTATTGCTTAGTTCAACATGAAGAAATTCTCTGTATCGTCTAACATATATATCTATAGCTACATCTTCGCATTTGTCGATAATTCGTAGTAAAAAGACTGGAGAAGAAATTCTTTTACGACGGTACTACTCTTGTACATACAGTTTATAGCACTCCGATAATATATTATCGGCTGCATTATACCTCTATTTTCGTCACATCTACTATTCCATCTGACACGACTTGGATTATATTTTTTTTTTACTATTTCGCTGGAAGAGCGCCTACGATTTCTCTACGACTAACGCAATCATAAAAGATAATGCGAATCGTAACGATTTAGAATGCAGTCTTTTGAGTTTACGTCCGGTTTAAATGCCAGGCGTTAATTCTGATGGCTAGAAAGACGGGCGGAAATGATGATAATGATGATGGTGATGCTCTTGCTCGTTTTAATTCGAGTGTAATCATTCTCAGCCGAAATGAGAGAATGGAACCCAGTTGGGATAGGTGAGCGGTGATTGTTGGTGTGGCAATGCGTGTGTTGCTGCGTGTGTATGATAGTGTAAGCTACGGCCGGCTCCTGGTGGCATTACTGGAACGGCAATCGCTGACTGGGCTTGTTGATGGGCCTGATGGCCGACTATGTCTACGAACGGGCCCGCCGTACCCGCGACTGGGCCTGGTGGCATCGCAGCCGCCGCAGCCTGAGCGGCAGTATGGCTTGTGACATAGTACGGATTGTGTGCAGGCGGCCTCACGCTGTAGGCGATGGTTGTTGTTGTCGTGGACGATAGTTGTCGCAGTTGCGTTGCAGTTGCAGTAGTTCGTAGTCAGGTACCAAAGGACACCACAAAACCAAAAGCACAAAGAATTAGCCCAGGGGGAAAAAGAGGCGAAACGAAGGAACAGGAGAGAAACCAACGAGATTTCCAAATGCGAATTTTATATTGCGTCCCATTGGCATTTAGAGATAAAACGCGAACCGATAAGTCGCTCTACGAACAAAAGATACATGAAACAATAATAAAATAATATAATGTTTTCTTTCATGCCAATGGAATATTCGGAGAATCTGAGGGAGGAGGCTTACCCATTTCATTGCGATTACAAGTTTCTTGTAGGAAACATAAAATTACAGTTAGATAATTTGCTATATAAACGAATTTTTATGTAGTAGATATTTTATACACTCGATTGTAGCAAAACTCAATTTTATCGAAACCAGTGAAAGAGAACAGCAGCACAAAGTACAAAATTAGCCCCCTGTTAAACATAGCTGCATCTTGTAAAGAATAATTGAAATGCGAACAATAGACTCAAGAAGTGTAGAAATGATAAGCAGCAAAAGCAATTGGAAGCTCTGTTGAAGTCGTCGCATAATGCATGGTCTCGACTAGATCCCCGAAACACGATAAAAGTACGCAGACGACGTAGACTTTCGTCCATAAATTAATTTTCCTGCTAACTAACTCTGGAAACCTCGCTTGGCCAAATGTATTTTGAAGCATAAAGCAGTATCGTTTATAAGATGTGACTCTTTGATATTAAAATAGCGAGGAGATATGCAAAGTGTATACTATAATGAGAAAGAAGAGAGATTCAAATTTTCAAGGCAAATCTAATAATTATTTTGCTCTCTTCTTTTCTCGTGCGTGTCGGAAAATGAATGTCAAAATAGCATAGACGCAGTAGAAAATTTTGAGAACTGTTACCTAGGGGATATGCCGAGAGAACTACTTAAAAAAAAAAAAAAAAATAAATAAATAAAAAACAGAAAAAGCACGAACATAAAAAGCAAGTATAACGCAGTCCAGTATGTGTAGCCTGCTTCCAGTAATGCCAATCAGGTCGAAGTGTCACGATGGCGCGAATACGTATGCGAGTATGCAGACATTGGTATGCTTCCTTTTGAATACATATGCACATTATATATGTATATACGATTGTAGAATTGTGCGGGACGTCATACATCAATGAGCCACAATGCCAAATCCCATAAGTGGCATGAAACGGATGTAGCATGATCCACGCGTGAGTATTTCGGCAAATGAATGAAAAATAATTATTAGCTGTCGAGAGAAATTAATTTATGGACACGATATATAAGTCACGTAGCATGCGGCGTGATTCTTATTAAGATATTAATGAACGAGCGACTCAATGGGAGATAAAAATGAAAAGAAAAAGAACAAGAAAATGTCAATGAAACAATGATAACTATTTGCGAACGTGCGCTTGAAGCAAATTTCATTCGTTGTATGCCGATTATACACATTCCGTCATATTTCTTTGATTTACATTGTATGATAATAATTACGTTGCTAAACGCTTGATTCATGAAATGAATTTCCTAATATTATACTATTTTTGTGATTAACATATCCTAAAAAATCGTTTCCTATTACGTATCGGTATTTGACGATTACAGTGATAAGTGAGCGTTTTTACCTGTTCTGAGCGATTTTTCTCAGTGTGTCCGGACTTCGTATGAGCTTGTCCAAAGTCTGTGTGAGATTGGCGAAGGTCGGCCGATGGGTGCGCTCCTTCTGCCAGCAATCGAGCATCAACTGGTAGATAGCCTCCGGACAATCCATCGGCGCTGGAAGCCTGTAGCCTTTCTCGATCGATTTTATCACATCTTGATTCGACCAGTTCCAGTACGGCCTCTCGCCGTACGACATCACCTCCCAACATACGATACCCATACTCCAAACGTCGGAGGCGCTCGTGAATTTACGGAACGCTATCGCCTCCGGTGCTGTCCACCGTACCGGAATTTTACCGCCCTGAATATAAATGGTAGATTAATCGAGCAAGAAATTATAAATATATATTCGAGTCTTATAAGTCATTGGCTTGTATTAATTTTGATTTTGCAACTTAAATCTGCTCACCCTGGTCGTGTAAGCTCCTTCTGTGGCACTCTCGATCTCTCTACTGAGCCCAAAGTCGGCGATCTTGCAAACCAAAGCAGCATTGACTAACACGTTTCTCGCGGCAAGATCGCGGTGCACGTAGTTCATCTCCGCGAGATACTGCATGCCGCTGGCGATGCCACGCAGCATGCCCACCAGCTGGAGCACTTGGAACTTGCCGTCGTTCGCGCGCAAGAAAGTGTCCAGGCTACCGTTCTCCATGAATTCCGTGATGATCATCACCGGATTGCTCTTTGTCACCACGCCTTGCAGGAATATCACATTGGGGTGTTCGAATTGGCCCATTATCGACGCCTCTGTCAGGAAATCATTACGAGCCTTGTCTGCGGAGCCTGGTTTCAGGGTCTTTATGGCCACATCTATTTCCGTCCGTCCGTCGGGAGGCAATTTCAATTTCCCTCGGCAGACATCGCCGAACTCTCCGCCACCTGTGGTCGTAAAAAAAAAATCGTTCAGAATATAATCAAATTACTAAAATGATCTTATTTGATAACCGTTCGTGATACCATATAATAATATACAAAATCGCACCTATAATGGCTTCTATCGTGATATATCCGGCGTCAATCTCTCGGGCAAATTCGCGTACCGCCTGATTCGGGTCCTCGTAGGTGTGAGGATCCACATAACTCCTTGCACCTGCACCGCCTGCGCTGCCTGCGCCCGCCGCGGCGACCCCCACTGCAGGTGTGAACAGCGGCGTGGTCACTGCAACGTCACGAAAACAGAGTTCATTATATTAACACGAGGGCCGGTGGTGCGAAATTTTGACAGAACTCTAGACCGCGCGTCCCAACATTCGCTCTATCGCTCGGCCAACCGTGTCAAATCCCGCAAAAAAGAAACACTCACACATTCTCTCTCGTCAACGAGTTTAAAATTTCCAAAAAACAAGACACAACCAAGAAAGCCAAACGCAGGTGGATTCTAAAATATGTCTCTTCTCTTTTTCAGTCCCACTTTAGTGAAAGAGTCTTTTTTTTTTACTTGTATGTGTTTATCTAGCTTAAAATCTGGTGTGTTTAATGTCGAACGGCGGTATCTATGTATGCTAGAAAAAATTCGCGCATAGTCAAAATGCACAATTTTTGCATGCTAAATTATTTTGAAGATTATTGCGATATATCCGGAAAACTCGGTGATTTTTTACACCGCTCGTTCCAGATGCTTCGGACGATTCAAACAGTCTCCCTCTCGTTGATTTTTACAATCTTCTTTCACACCAATTTAGTTTCTATTTGAGCCGTCTCGGAACATCCAAGTATTTTGCATATATCATGGTAAGAAGAAAGACGATCGCGAAGCACGATCGCTTGAAGAAAAATAAAAAATAAGATTTAAAAAATTGGATGCAAGAACATGATGCAATTGCGTGCGAAACACGGGGCTGCAGCATGCTTTTATTACTTCCAAACTTTTCATCCATATCGCATATCTAGGACAGTGAAGAAAGAACAGAACGGAGTGTAGCGTAACTAAAGCTAAACTATAATAATCGTGGAGAACTCGGAGTGAGTGTACGAGTGTCGGTGCGTTCGGTTATGCCTTTAATATATCGTGCGGACATGTCCGGCGTTGCTCTGTTTTTCTTTTAGTCACAAAAATTTTGACCGGAGATTAATTTGGAAAACAAAGGACTTACGCGAGGACTTGCTCTTGTTGTTGGTATGGGTTGTCACAATCGGTGAACTGTCCATTTTGCAGTGCACTGTGAACAACACAACAACCAACACACTAATTGACAAACAGCAAAACAAAAAGAAGCGGCGAGTGTACAATGATGAATTCTTTTTTTAAATGACGTGAAGAAAAATGGTAACTGAAATATCTTTGCTTGATCACGGATGAGACTATTGTGAAAATATGTAATCGAATCCAAGTAAAAATTATTAGAATATCCACATAACGCACTGATTAAAAATGCACTCCTTTAAGCGTATCTGTATTTTCTTTTTATCTTTTATGTTCTTTCCGGTATGTTTCACGAATCAAATCCAGATATAAAAAGCACATACGATATTAACATCGACACACTGGAAAATACGCATGCAATTGAACGTGAGCAATGCAACATAACAAACATACGCAAGCACAATGCGCACATACGCGAACACGCATAACGTGTATCTAAGAAAATTAGGTATCGTGCATAATTGTTGTATATGTGTGTTTGTTGGTGCGTGTGTGATGTGTGATTATGCAAAAGCATAAAGTCTGACTTAAATTGAGAGTGTAATGTACAGGGGTTGCAAAAATAATCTACACAAAATTGAGTTCCTAAAAAACAAAACTTGAGGTGTTTGGAGAAGACTTACTGTAGGTCACAACTAGTCCTGTAGTAGCAGGCGATTGTGTACATTGTTTCATTGGATTTTTTCATGGATTTTTCATGGAGGCAGGTTCGATAGATTAGGGGAATCGCACATGAAAAGAAAGAATCGAAAGAATTTGGTTAGAATAATCGCACTCAGGCAATGGGGCCAGATCGATGTGAATTTTGGTTGGAAAGCGATCGTTTCTCTTTAAGTCCCTGTCGCGGACGTATTTCAGAGCCCGACTGCTTTCTCTTCGCTCATTTTCTCTATGGTGTTAATTGTTCGGCTATCTCTCTTTCTCTCACTCTCATCCGCAAAAAAATCTCTACAGTATTGAGGGGGGGGGGGTGTTTAACGTATTATCGTGGGTCTGTTTGTATACGGGGTATAGTTTCGACACTTGCTGGATCTAAGGGGGGGGCCAGTGATTCCAAAGTTAGTCACAAGACACGAGGGCATAGTGAAACAACTATGAAAGTGACAGGGTTGTGGGGGCGGGGCGGGTAATAGCGATAATAAATTTTTAAAAAGAGAAATTTCGAGCAAAATGCAAACGTACCTTCGCCGTTTCTATACTCCAGGGTATCGCAGTCGCTCGGCTGTTTCTTGTTGCATTCGTCCGAGGCCCTGCTGCAACGAAATCGTATATCAGTCGAATTGAGCAAAGCAATTGGAAAGAAATGACTTTTTGTGCGTTAGTATACGATAGTTAGCAACATTTGAGACATATATTTCAAATATAGAAAATGATTCAATTACCTTCTAAGAATTAAAACGGTCATGATGATAATAATCACGAGAAGTACGACCACAGCAACGATCGCCCCTGCGATTATCCTAACTTGCATGTTGTCATCCTCGCCGACGTAGTCTGCATGAAACATTTCTGTTAAAGGCGCGGTACGAAGGAGATTGCGAAATGTGAATCTAAATGCCGCTGAACCCGCTTACCTAAACCCATCGCGTGGGGTGTCTTTTTAAATATCACCGGCGTATACTCGCCCCAGCCGCGGGTGGTCTTAGCGCGAACCTGTATCGCGTAATCCGTGGAAGGCTTGAGACCTTTGAACGTGGCAGACAGCTCGGACGTTTGAATGACGGTTGCATTAGTGGCGTCGTCGTAGCGCGGGTAACACCTCACTGTACCAGATATCGAGATTATTAATCCCTCCGCCGCCACAATACGATCGAATGACAATTTGGAATTGATCTCGCCGTACAATGGCGTAGCAACATATTGTTATTATGACTTTTAGCTTTACCTTCATATCGCTCGACGAGATCGTTGTCTCCGCCAGTACCGATATCTGGCGCGTCCCAACTGATGCTGAGCTCTGAGCTCTTGACACTTGTGATCCTGACGTTGCTCACTAGACTTGGCACGCTCGCCTCTGTCGTAACGGTAATGTCCACGTATTCCGATTTGCCAACCAACGACGATACACCGTTCTCGGCGAACACTTGGAAACGATAAGTAGTCACCGCGTTCAGGCCGGTTATCGTGATCTTCGTGTCGTTGAAGATCTCCTGTTACAAAATCGAAGCGGAACACGCGCGTCACGTTGTTGCGTTTTTTGATCGAGGAATAATTCAACTACCGCGCAATCGATATACTCGCGTATAAATATACGATTTTGACGAAAACTCACGGTATTAGGAATGTATTTGACGCCCATGCTGCAGGAATCGCAGTCCACTCTATAAGTCGTGTCAGACCTGCCACCCTGCATATGCGGCGCATTCCAGGAAAGGATCACCGTGGACTGATCGACAAAGTTGACGGTCAGGTTTTGCGGCGCCGAAGGTGGTTCTGCAAAAAAGCATATAGTATTAAAGATTTTCGCGGAACGCCGACCTCCAAATTCTTTTCATCTTTCGTGTACGCAAAACTCTTTCTTTGAATATAGTATATCGCAACTCACAAATATTTATTATATCAAACAATATAACGCAAGTATAAATTATAGAAGTTAATATTTTAATGAAAATACTCAAGGAACTTAATTTAATATTTCAGATGTTCTTTGAAACTCCTAGATTTTTGGACGATTATTTGAACGATTATTTTTCTAAATTTTAAAATAATGACACGAGCTTTTTTTTTTGTAAAAATTATTAATTTAATTTAATACTCACGTGTGCAAGGCATTTTCTTAGGATCTTTTTCTGCCCGAAAATAGCCCGGATCGCAACGACACTCCGTGAAGCCGTAATCGGAAGCTTTGCTGTGCTCCGGGCATGGCTCGCAGGCATGAGAACCCGCCTCATGTTTGAACTTGCCTATCGGACACTCCTTGCACTCCTGCTTGTCCGTATCAGCTTGGTAGCCAGGTTTGCAATGGCATCCGCCCGTTGGGAGATACCATTTGCCATCTCCCTTGCAGAGGAAAGTCGGTTGGGCGATTTTGACGGCATTCGCAACGCAAATGCCGCGCGTTTGCTCAATAAGCGCAACCTCGCGACCGGTTGGCGTGGCCGGAAAATGTGCGAAGTTCACCGAAATTTCAGGGCAACTGATGTAGTATACCTTGATGGCCAGGATCGATATGCAAGCGCCCTGATCACGAAAGGCGAAGTAGACGCCCTTCTTCGTCACCGGAATCGACTTCACTTCGGTGTTTATCACCACCTCGGTGTTCGTGTTGAACCTACCCTCGCCCGCAGCTATACGACCTGCAAGTACATAAAATCGTATTTAAAGCCGTCCTAAATATTGAGAGCGATGAGTTTAATCGAAAACAGCTGCATGAAAAAAAAAGAACCTAGTACCCTCCGCCGACAACATAAATTTTAATTCTTCCATCAGGAATAGTTTCAAAAAACAGAACAAACTTTTTATTAGGGTCAATTAATCTGTATTATGATTAATTTATCCATTAATTATGTATAATAAAATTTTAATTTATGTTTTAAAATTTGTTCAAAAAGTATTCTTCACCTCTTTGCAAATTCTATTAGATTTGTTGTTCTCGAAATAATATCATTATCCTATTTTCGAAGTAAATCTTTTAATTGTCATGCTTTGTGTTATCATCGCTTACCTATAAGTTTGTAACTGTCCGGTTCCCACGGGGGTGGCTCCTTGGTGGCGGCGTCGAACTCGTAATATAGTAGACTGAAAGTCTCCTTACAGCTGAGAGCGTTCCCGGGGAACAACGAACAGTCGCGAGTCGTGAAATTGATTTCTATGTACATGCGATTCGCTGGACCCCTCTCTATGAACGGCGTCCATAGCCAGTTGTTCACATTGGTGTACGCTACATCGCAGACAACGTAACTCCGCCAATTGATACCTTTGTCGAAGTTTGTAAAAGACTCCTCTACCCACTGCAAAACAGATTGAAAAGAAAGAAAATACGTTAATATGTATTTTATGGGAAACCCATTTTTTTTCTATTCTAGTTCTTGATTGAAGTTAATGAGACCAGCGTGGACAATGGTCGAAAATGGAAACCCTCCTTCGAAAGTATTGAGAAAGCGATCACATTTCGATGCAGGAAGGCATCCGGTATTTAAAATCCGCGATGCTAACCCAATTCTACGTGTTACCACCAACCGCGACGAAAGCGAGAAAGCACCACCCGCCGTCGTCATTGTCGTCGGTCGGTCGGCCGACATTGGTCGTAGAATCCTCCCTCGGTAAATGACGAGGCGGAGAGGCCAGGTCGTCGACTTGCGACAAACAGACCGCAAGGAATTACCGGCGCGCGTTACCATTAGTTTTATTGCCCCCCTTGGCTCTCGGGCTCGTCCCAAGAGCGACCGCAAAAAGTTCCGACCAGGGCAAGAAGGATCCATCGTCGTCATCCTCGCCGTCACCGGAACCTCTCTCTCTCTCTCTCTCTCTCTTCCCCTTCTCCCCCTTCCTTCCCTTTCTCTTTCCTTCGTTCTCTCTTACTCCTTTTCTCTCTCCCTCCTTCCAAAGCTACTCTCCTCTCTTTGCCGTTCTTTTTTTACGCGCCTCTCCGCTCCCGCGTATTTCATATTCGGACCAGGAAAGACTCGGCAAGGTAAGGAGTGACAAAAAATGGTAGACTGAGGTAGAGCTCGTGAGCCTCTTATCCAGAAGATTTCCTCACGGACGTGTTTCCGGCAGGCGGGCTGCAATAAATTCAGACCGCGCCGGCTACCCGGTCGCAAAAGGGAGATTATTACGGGGACGATGACGAGGTCGAAAAAATTTCATTAAAGCGCTGCCGGTGAAAAAAAGCTTTTTCAGCGGTCCGAGAGTACCAGTAGCCGGGAACCACGGAGGTGCAGTCCCGCAATTCGCTGTCGTCCGCGCATCGAATTACGATCCGGTACCCTTCGCACGCCTCCGATCGCAATTAATAGTTTTTAGCGGGGTTTGCGAAACTGGATTCGTGCCGCTTTTAAAGTAAGCATACGGTGCGCTCTTTTACGATAGAATACTATCACAGATGTAATTGGATTAATGGATACTGCCGTTTTATACACGAATCAAGAATAAAAATTCAAACTTGCTACGTTTTAAAATGTTCTACATATTATTTTCTCTATTTTCCTGTTAATCGATATTGTAAATGTTTCTCCCTGGAGATTATTACAGAAATGAGAAAACGCACCACTATCACCGTCACATATTTATTTCGACGCCTTCGCCGAGGTTCTTTATCGTCTGGGAAATTTCATTAAGGACGGTAAAATTCATCCTTCCTTTTGCAGAGCCTTCCGTGGCTGTGTCTATACTTGCTGCTTTCAACCTCGCTACAAGCTGCGAGGAAAAGACGAGGAAGAGACACGGTGTCGTTAACGCCGCGCGGCATTTAATTGGATCGCACTGAAAGTCGTCCTCGTTTTAATACGCGTCGATTTTTCGGCGAGACGGATTTCCCATTGGCGTGACCGTTCTGTGAAATTACTCGTCGGAATTGGAAGAAAAGGCGATTAGCCACTGCATTATATTTCATTGCAATCCCACGATATCGGTTCCCGTCAGCCCTGTGTGCATGGACACATTCGAGGACATTTTTTTCTAGCTTTATGGAAGATCGCCACTTAGTTAAGATTTACGTCACAAGCAAGATTTGTAATGTAGAAAAAGATTATAATAAATCTTGCAATTTTTCATGTGCTTACTCAGTTGGAAAATTTGTGTTAAATGTTACACATTTCATATGTCTCAAAAAGGTTGGTTCAAATTTTTATTTTTGTGTAACGCAAGACGTAAAGTAATTTAAATATTATATAAAAACACAAAAAATGTAACAATACAATTTGTAAAAAAATCATATTTCTTCATTAAAATAAACATTTATAATATGTTAAATCAACATGTTTCAATAAAAATTCAACATTTATAATATATTAAATTAACACATTTTATTCATTTATCTTGAAATTTACATTACAAAAATTTTTGTTACTTGTTCACATATTCATAAATTATATTGTTAATACTAAGACATGTTGGATATCAATTTAACACAAAATATTCAAAAAAATAATACAATTATTTTTAAAATAATAATACATTATTTTAAATTAACACTCAGATGCATTAAAAATTCAACACAAAATTTTAACATGAACATATTTCTAACATAAATACAAAATGTTTTCTGTTGTGTAGTAAATTGTACAACACACCGAGAAACATATTCTGATTACACCAACAAAATGGCTATCATAACCAGAAATTCTATTTGTCCTCGTCAAAATTTCATTTCTTATTTGGGCTCTTTTGTTGGTTTAAGTAGAATATTCTTTTTTTAGAGTATTACATCAAGTTTTCCAGAGTGAAGATTGAAGGTATAACGTAATGGTTTAATGTGAAAATATCATTTGGATTAGAATAGCATATATACGATAGTTTTTTTTTTTCTAGAACGTATAGTTACCCGCGGTTGCATTAAATATGACCAGTAGATTGTACATTTGCGTATCATACAATCGACTGATGACCGTTCGATGTCGATGAAAACTATGCCGTGGTTAGCGTCTTTGTGGTCGAGTATCGATCGCGCCCTCGCCTTGCCGTCTTGTAGTAGGTAGACGTGTCTCGCTATTTTCTGCATTGGCGGAGAAAGCACGAAGCGAGAGGTGGCACGTGCAAACCACCAACGTGGTTTTCCTCAGTTTTTATGCTTTTTAGCATAAAAGGATAGCAACGAGATGATGAATCACAAAATTGTATTGAAACCTAGCTGACATTCCATTTGTGTTATTTTTTACACGCATCCTCATGGAAATAAAATCCCTGAATCTCTATTTTGTGCACCATAATTTTTTGTTGTTAACATCAGCAAATGTCTCTTGTCCGGTCGAAGTCTCATTAACTATACATTTGTCCTGGTTTTTTTTTTGATCGTTAGATATTTATGATTTGCTGGAGAAAAAGCAACGCTGACAAAAGATACATTTTGAGAGTAGTGGGTTGGGACAGCCAAAATTACCTGAGAGCTACCCCGTGGTGCTTTCACTAGTAGGCATCCTAAGGAAAAGAACCGTTTGTCGCCCTTGGTCGCTCTTCTTTCTCGTCGCAGATCAAACCGTGGCAAATAAATAGACAGGAGTCGATGGCGCAGAAGTAAAGTCAATAAGCTCAGAATGCGTTCGTACTAGCGAGATGAGTGGAAAAAGAGGAAAACTAAAGACAAACGTGGACGTAGGATCCTGCCACCCTCGCGGATGCGGCACTGCCCTTACGCCAGTAATATCACCACCATAATCGCAATTCCGACAGCGTAGCTGTCGGATAGGGAGGTTAGCGAGAGTTCGTAGGAAGTCTTCCATGAGCAGGAAGGGGAACGTTACGAACTTTTAGTCCGAGGGGTTCGCGGATCTTAATATATATTGAGCTCTCTCGTGTCGGAGGGGAGTTAACCCTCACCCTTGGGGTGAGGTTGCATCGGCAGGCACGTAGGGCTCTCTCCTCCGTCAAGCTACGTGCATCCGGCACTACGAACCGCTTTTGCGACCGACACGTATCGCATCCAGACGCGATCGAACTTTCCTTCGTTCTTCTTACCATTTCTTTAGCCGACACCTTCGGGAGAATCGAACGCTAATTGCGTTCATGATGAAATTACGCGGAATAAAAGATCGTTATTAGAGAGCTTCAAACTGAACACAGAAAGATTTTGCTGAAGTGTCTAAAAATTTAAGTTTGATACTGATCTGAAAATAATTATGTAGAAAACTCAAATATAATGAGCAGTACTGCAAACAATTTTGAGATTCTAGCAAGCAGCTTGAGCGTTTTACATAATTATTTTGATAAAAACATTATCTTTAAATATGTATTTAGTTAAATTTTTAGATACTAAAACTATTCTTTCCAAATATTTTATATTAATATTTTCAATCCCGGTATTAAATACACGCAAATATACGCAGGAGAGAGAGAGAGAGAGAGAGAGAGAGAGAGAGAAAATGTGTGTGATGTGTACAACGCTATACAGCAGAAAAAAATGTTATAATTTCGAAAAAAAATAAATTCTTGTCTTGAGTGCACAATTTTTCTTCTAAAATTGGTAATGAGTATATTTTAAGTATTATTGCCAAGAAAATATTTTTTGTTAAAGATAATCATTAATTAAAAGAAAAAAGTAAATTGAGTAATCAAATGAACTTGAGTAATCGAATGAAATTTTTCTATAGGTATTGTTGTAAGAATTCTAAAAACACGAGCAATTTCAGTAGATAGATATAGAAGCAAATTTATAGTACATACATAGCGAGCATTCCGTCAATTATCCTCTCGTAGGAAGTTCATTAACTGGAGCACGGTCTGATTCGTGAAATGGTCGTCGCTTTAAATACAATAGTACTATAATATCGTCCGCGATATAATACAGCGTTCGGACGAGGGTAGATCGTCCGTTACGGGCGAACAAGTGCACATATGTGTATCCCCGGGCAGAATGGGCGGCCATCCCTCGGACAGGGGTGGTTACGCCACGCGCCAATCGAAAACTTTATGTTACCGTTTATTCCGTGCACCCCAAAGCCGATATAACAGTATTTCAGGGCGAAAGATTGGCAGGAAGGCCGTTTAAGGAAGAATTTCCACGATTCCTTGGCACTTAACTGAGATTTCTCTCTCTCTCTCACTCTCGCACGTAAATGCGGGCGAATATGCGTGCATGTATGCGTTCGAAGGGAGAAAAGATCGTCGGTGAAATAAGGAAGTCGGGGTGAGAGAGAAGGTGTCGGGTGAGAATTTATTTCTGGATTATTCGAACCGAGAAAATGCTTGCGGGGTGCGGATCTTCTTTCCAGAAAAGGACAAATTGTTCTCCTCCGCGGGATCGAAGTTCTGTTGGGAGAAGCAATTTCCAGACGCGAGATTTACGACACAAAGA